TAAACATCAGGCAATCCACACAGGAGAGAGACCCCACAAGTGTTTGGACTGTGGGAAAAGTTTCACAGTGAGGTCAGACCTTGTTCAACATCAGGCAATCCACACAGGAGAGACTCCAGAGGTGCTTTGACTGCGGGAAAAGCTTCATATGGAGGTCTGACTTAAGTAAATATACCTGTCGCCCATGCCACCTGCCCAATTCTTGCTCAGTTTCATTGAATTCGCTGGGGGTAGGGGCAGAAGGATGGAGGGAATGTTTATAGCCGAAATCACCAAAATGTGTTTTGCCAGGTTAATGTTAATTGGATCTGTTCCACTCTCCTGCTCGGACATTTTCTCTGGGGATCCCGGAGACAGAAAGGAGCTGGTGTTACCATCTTGGCTACCAATCTCCACGGTGACTCTCTACACTAACAATTCTCAAAGTGTGGGCAGAGCCTCCCAGTAGAGACACAGGAATGGGTCAAGGGAGGCGTGATCAGTGTGGATTGTTTGGTTTTTTTTAAAGAGCACTGGCTATCGGCCCCAGTTGGCTGCAGAGCCGGCGCTTCCATGTAGGCAACCTAGGCGGTCCCCTAGGGTGCCAGGATTTGGGGGGGCGGCATTTTGCCACCATCGGCAGCAATTCGGCGGCGGGGGGTCCTTCCGCGCTCCAGGTGTTCGGCGGTAATTCTGCGGACGGTCCTTCACTCGCTCCGGGACCCGCCGCAGTAGTGCCCCAAAGACCATGAGCGCGGAAGGACACCCCCCCCCGCCGCAGAATTTCCGCCGACGACCGTGAGCGCGGAAGGACCCCCGCCTAGGGCACCAAAAACCCTGGCGCCTCTCCTGGTTGGCTGGGGCTCATGAAGAAGGAACAGGCCTAGCTGGGAGGTGGGGATAAATGCTCAGGCTCTCAAACCCAGGTGCAGCAGCAGCAGCAAAGAAGTTAGGGTGTCAATGGGGTGATAAGTCTGCTGTGAACAGCGATATTGACGAATATCACTTTTCACATGACCACCCTAACTGTGCTGCTATTGGAGCCCTTCAGAGCTGGGTGTCTCACAAGCAACTACTCTGCCGTTAGAGCTGGGTGGTGATATATGTGCTTGTGAGTTTGGGGGCGTAATGACCAAAGACACAAAGAAGGGGGGGGGCTGATGAAACGCATTTGAGAACCCCTGGTCTACACTATTATGGGCACCACGTTTACAAAATGATAAATCTTCTCCAAAGTATGTCTCGTGAGGTATCATAGGTAAAGTCATCGGCTGCTGAATATTAGTGTCCCATTAAAATGTGTCTATCAGCACTGTCCATGGAGCTCTGAGAGTTTGCTGTATGTTTGTTACATGCTGTAAAGCTGGAAAACGCCCACAGACGAGCTCCTCAGAGACAATGGCACCTGCACACCAGCTAGGTGCTACGTGGCTAGTAATTGCTCAGCCGGCCATTCACCAGCTGTGGAGCTGGGAACAAGAGAGTTACAATTCACCGGAAGGACGGCTGGACGCTCACTTAGGCCACAGACTGACTGTCGGCTGCCCCTCAGCTGGGGGGCGAACCTCAAAGAGGAGAGTGGTCCAAAAGCACAAGGGAGAAGTGCCTCCATTTTTACCTCTCCTCTCCCATCTTTACAGAAGGCAACAAGACGGCTTGAAAGGCAACAGGGTCTTTGGAGTGGGGAGGGCGGACCAAGGCTGGAAGGAAATCCAGGCTGGGTACTAAGAACTGTGAACTGCCTGCAACAGCGGGTGGGATGGGAAATCCTGTTTTCTTCACATGTTCCTTAGTTTGGTAAAATGTAGGATTTAAAATGCATGTTTTAATTTTATAGTTTTAACCCATTCTGACCTTTTACTTCTTTCTCCCTTGTAATCCCTGAAAACTCACTTGCTCCAGTTAATAAACTGGTTTTAGTGTTTTGTCTGGACCTGTGTGTTTTCATTGAAGTGTTTGAGGGATTTTACTGGAGAGAACAAGGCTGTGGCCTAATCTGGCCCCTTTATGGGGGTGACCCACTAATTATTGAGTTTTTCCATCACAGCGAACAGACTGAGCAGTCCAAGATGCACATTCCCGGGGTGCAAGGCTGGGAGTAGAAAACTGGCTGATGTTGCTGTGTCGATGGTACCTTCCTGAGTGTCTGGCTAGTTGCACTCAGTACAGTGCAGCCAGGAGTGACTTTGAAGGCTGGTGGCTGTGTGGGAGCAGAGCGTGGAGGGGTTTGTTGTTCACACAGGGAAGCAGCAGGGTGGATTTGATTTAAATCACTAGTCAGGAAGACTTGATTTAATCATGGTTTTCTACATTAAAATGTATTCTTGTTGGTTGTTATAACCTTAATACATATTCTTCACAACGCAGAGATAGATGTAGGTTTCATTTTTGGAAGGTACTCACTGTACATTTTTAAACTGATTCATTTTGAAAACTTTTCAGATGAGTTTTACAGCTATATCAGACAATGAATGTTTGGTTATTTCATTTCATTTCATTTCATTTGGTTATTTCATTGTTTGGTTATTTCATTCATGCCATGCTGTATTAGGAGGAGAACATAGCCAGACAGACATTTAAATTGTTTTATTTAACTAAAATAACAACAATAAGTATTCTGGATTTTTTTCTTCAACAGCAAACATGTAATATTTTAACAGAAAAGCATATGTCCCTCGCTTCTCACATTTATCTCCAGACTTCTTCTCCTTCTCCAGATCTATTATACCTCCAACAGTCTTCTGTTCATTCAACTTTTTGAAACTTTGCACTTTTTGAGAGAGGTAAGGGATTGACTCTGTGTACACAAATTTGCAGAGGGACAATAGAGGTGAGGTCTGTTATTTCTCACCTCTCTATATTAATTGATTTTAAAACATTTTTGTTGTTAACAAGAATGTTCCCTCTGGAGAGACAAAGCCACAGTTTGAGAACTGGCAAACTAAGCATCTCTGATGGTATCTTCTAGACTGAGCACTGAGTCCCATTGGGTAGATAGAAAGATTAACCTAAGTAATCTATACAGAAGCCTGTGTATCCCCATAAGACTGGGTCGTTAATGCATGAACTATAGGAACTCATTGACAAAACTTTTCTTAAACAAGACATGTCTATATTGTCACATACTATAGAATTAGAATGTATAATCCCTATTCCATGATGAAATATCTTTGAGTTATAATGCATCTTAATTACAACTATCTTTAGATAAAATGGTTTTTGAGGGAAAAAATTATCAAAAAAATCCGATTTAAATATGAAGAAAATCAGATTTCTGTGTTTTTTTTTTTTTTAAAAAAAGTCATTGATTTTTATTCACCCTGGGAAGCAGTGTAAAACATGCGCTGGGATGGAGAATTAAGCAGTTCAACAGTCCAGATTGTACCCTGGGGTACGTCTCACACCCACTGACTTCTGGGACCCAGCATGGCACCATTGGGCTTTCATCATCCTGATCCTGAAAGAGAAGCTGAGCAGGGCAAACCAGAGAAGAGGAACCAGCCGACATCCTCAACTCCACCGACTTTGATTTTGGCTAAATCCTGAACTCCCCCTGGCATGTGAGACTTGAGGTTCTGCTGCCAGCCTTCCCCTCACGCGTCTGTTTCCTTCCCAATGGTCAGGGGTGAAAGTAACTTAAAGGACTTACTTTAAAGACTTCATTTTACAGAGAATTGACCATTGACACTAGTTTAAATTTGTAAGTGTGCCCATGCCCCATGCTGCAGAAGAAGGTGAAAAAAACCCAGGGTCTCTGCCAATCTGACCTGGGGGAAAATTCCTTCCTGACCCCAAATATGCTGATCAGTTAGACCCTGAGCATGTGGGAAAGACCCACCAGGCAGATACTTGGGAAAGAATTCTCTGTAGTAACTCAGAGCCCTCCCCATCCAGTGTTCCGTGTCCAAATGGGGATATTTGCTACAGGCATTTGTTGATGGGCCACACCATTGTAGGCAATCCTGTCATACCACGCCCTGCACAAATTTATCAAGCTCAGTCTTGAAGCCAGTTAGGTTTTTTTCCCCCACTGCTCGCCTTGGGAGGCTGTTCCAGAACTTCACTCCTCTAATGGTTCACCTAATTCACTCCTCTAATGGTTCACCTAATTTAAAGCCTAAACTTGTTGATGGCCAGTTTATATCCATTTGTTCTGGGATCCATATTGATGTTTAACTTAAATAACTCCTCTCCCTCCCTGGTATTTATCCCTCCCCCCGACGTATTTCTACAGAGTAATCATATCTCCCCTCAGCCTTCTAGTGGTTAGATAAACAAGTCAAGCTCTTTGCATCTCCTCTTATAAGATGGATTTTCCATTCATCAGATCATCCTCTGCTGACATAAACTGTAGTGTAGACATAGCCTCAGGGGCTTATCTTTGAGAGAGGGGCGGGGCTTAGGACGCACCCTGTTGTTAGCAATCCCCCTTGGCTAGTCTAGATGGCTCCCCACTTAGCATGCTGGCTCTTTTGGATGGCATTTTAAGGCACCTGTCTGTCTCTGTTCATTGTATAGAGGGACTAATCACCTACGTGAGGCTTTGTGGGTCGCAGTGTTGTTCTTGTGATGTTCTAGACACCTAAAAATGTGGTCCAATGACGCTCAGCATTGCAACGCCTGAGTCCCTTCATGGATCCCACCCCACTCATTTAAATTAGAAGCTCACA